TTTCGCATACGTTTCTCCTTCGAATAAATTCTGAGAGAGAGAGAGAGAGAGAGAGAGAGAGAGAGAGAGAGAGAGAGAGAGAGAGAGAGAGAGAGACACGCCGATCTCCGAAGAGTCTGGGGCTCAATTCTTGAATTTATTCGAAGGAGAAACGTATGCGAAAATTCTGCTCTTACAGAAAAGTTGCAAGTTGATTGGCTATTCGCATGGCTTTAGCCAATCGACTTGCATCTTTTCTGTCAGAGCAGAATATTCGTATACGTTTCTTCTTCGAATGATTTCGTGAATCGGGGCCCCTGAGGTCTCGACACGAAAGGAAGATGGAAAATGAATACGAGGATTCCTTTTCCGTCTCTTTCTCTTGTCGCAATTTTCGCACGCCCACGTCAGCCCACGTGACCAATAACATGACCGCGTGCGTTGTGCCAGCGACCAGCGTGGTCAGCGTGACGCCAGATTAGAGGGTGTACCTCGGGTTTTAATCGAGTTTCTAAGGGGTTTCTACGAGTTTCTAAGAGTTACGGGTGTGAATCGGGCCAGGAACCGTGGTAGAGATTTGCACGGCAGCTATACAACTGCACTACTTTCGAATCGCGGAAACGTGTCTTTCCACGCAGGTTAATACGCTCGATGTGCAGTTTACACGGAAGCAAGCGGCAACACTCCCCACGGAGATGATTAGAAATGTTGTCGTGGGCCTGTCCGGTGGCGTCGATAGCGCCGTGACGGCTCTTCTGCTTAAAAACAAAGGTGGGAATGAAAGGAATTGCTAGCTCTATCCTTCTCGTTTTAATGCATTAGGTGGTAAACTTGGTTTCCGCGGCTCGCAACAACGCCCCAGATCAGCCGAAAAAGTTTCAAGACACCGAATTGCCAAGCATCATTGGACGAGAACTCAGCTCAAACGCTCCAGGAATTGTCCGCGGCGTTGAATGTCACTCCGATGGCTGTTTCCAAACGTCTACGTGCAACGGGAAAGACTCAAAAGGAAAGAAAGTTATTCCTTTTGCACGACAACGCTCGACCACACGTTGCGAGAGCCGTCAAGGAAACACTGATGCAGCTCGAGTGGGAAGTTCTCCCGCACCCAGCGCATTCACCGGACTTTGCTCCTTCAGATTACCGCTTGTCCCGATCGATGCATGCACGGCTTGGTGGATACACACTTGAAAAATTACGAGGATGCGCGAAAATGGATGGACGAGTGGATTGCATCAAAAGACCAATCGTCCTGTCGTCGCGGAATCCACTCGTTGCCAGAAAGATGGGAAAAATGTATAGCTAGCGAGGGCAAATACTTTGATTGATGTGTTCTTTGCTCTTGATATCGATAATAAATGAGTCTGTTGAACAAAAAACACCGCGGAAACTAAGTTTACCACCTAGTACATATGCATGTATAGCACAAAACCTGCAGTTACATTGCAATAACATTGCTACAATATTGCAACATTGCCGTAATGTAGCCGCAATGTAACCGCAAGGTTTCCGCTGTATGGGTATTGACATTATTACGTTTCTCTCTCTCTTTTTAAGGCTTCAACGTCACTGGAGTGTTTATGAAGAACTGGGACATTAGAGACGAAACGGGAACGTGTACGGTTGAGAAAGATTACAACGATGCTCGCTGGGTCTGCGACAAATTGAACATTCCACTGATACAGGTCGACTTTGTCAAAGAATATTGGAACGAGGTCTTTAGGTATGTCTTTGGGGACTTGCAATGTAGTTATCTTCATTTTACCTTTGTAGTCTTCACATCGATGTCCCTCGTTCTTCCAGCGACGTGGTGGAAAAGTATCAGAATGGTTATACTCCAAACCCAGATATTTTATGCAACAGGAATATCAAGTTCGATAAATTTTTTCATCTCGCGCGCAATAGACTCGAAGCAGATGCGATTGCAACGGGTCATTACGCTAAAACGAGCTTCGGACCCTATCTAGAGAATTATAAAGCGGACACTAGCAAGTATCCCATATTGAGTAAAATTAGCTGGATATCTCTCGGTGCAACAACAGCGCGCGATATTACAATTCTGTAGACGCGCGTCTGTTACAGGCACAAGATAGCAATAAGGATCAGACGTTCTTCCTGAGCCAAATACCGCAACGGACCTTGAGACGGTGTATGTTTCCTCTTGGGGATTACCTGAAGAGTCACGTGAAGGCGATGGCTGCACAAGTGGGATTGCACAAGATCGCACGGAAGAAGGAAAGCATGGGTATTTGCTTCGTGGGGAAACGTGAGTTTCAACATTTTATTTCGGAGGTAAATTGAATTCCCTAATGCGATTGCTTCGAGATGGAAGGATAAGATAACAATTATATGTTGGTTGCAGTATGTACAAGATCAATCTGGCGACTATGTAGATTTGGATAGTGGACTGTCGATAGGCAGACACGATGGCATTCACAAACGGACGATAGGGCAAAAATGTAACATTGGCGGTTGCCACAAGCCCTATTACGTGTTTAGCAAGGATCGGGAATCGAATACCGTCACGGTGGTACATATCGTGCGATAGATTCAAATCAGAGCTATTTTAGTCAAGAGAAATTAATTCTTCTTATCACTTGTGTGTCTAGGTGGCCGGTACGACTCACCCGGCGTTGTACAGTGACTTTATGATAACGCAGGAAATTCACTGGATCAATGAGGAGCCGCGCCAATTGAAATTGAACAACGGCGTGTTCAATTGTAACTTTCGTTTTCAACATAGAAATCCGTTGGTCGCGTGCAGAGTGTACAAGGTGTCCGGCGGTCGGTTGTTTATTCGTCTCGACGCACCTTTACGAGCGATTACGAAGGGCCAGGTAATTTATAGCGAATAGTGGAAATGTCGCGACGTTTGACGCAACAATCGAGTCATTGGCACAACGACATTACTAGCTTTATGCATATATATACGTGTAAATTTCAGTATGCTGTTTTATACTCTGGAGAGGAATGCCTAGGCAGCTCAATGATATCGTATACGGGACCATCCTATTTTGCACTTGATCAGCAAAACTGTATAGATGGTGTTCGCTGCCACAATTTGATAGCATCTCTTAGAGTTTAAATAAGTACGTGTTGTATACAAGTATCAATATTTTGGAGCTTTTCATCAAATTAATAAAACGTTGACGTGAAGACACACTACAGCGAAACTTCCGACTTCCAACTTAATCTTTTACATCTCCATCTTGACAAATCCTGTAAGTTTTATTATACAAAATAACAACGTATATCTTATCATGTAAGAACGCATTCAAACGCATCAACTCATTTGTTCTCCAGACAATTGCGGACACTCTTGTAAGACCTGGAGAGGACCAGGATTACTGGCCGAAACGTCGTAATTTATAATAAAGAATAGCCAGTAAGGTCGCCTCTACACTTCTTTAAATTCTTATTTTTTAACTGGCGTCACCAAACCGCTATCAATTCAATTAAAGTTTTAATAAAAACCGTTTCAAGATTTATCCCATTTGCAACGACAATTGTTCTCTCATTTCTCTTCAAAGTCTCTCCGTAACATCGCAATGTTTCACACATTCTCAAAGACGTGTACACCTTTGTCCAATTTGAATTTGAAAATGCACGCAAATTTCCCCTCTAGGATTCTGTCAAATCACGCAGTTTTTCGACTTTTCCGAGTGACAATACTTGCCGGCAGCTCTCTTCAGATTACTCGTGTCACACGTGTGCGCTGCTAACCATAAAGACAAAGAGTAGTTTGAAATTTGAGATCAAGTTCAGGAGCGCAAATTTCACCCGTGTATAGAGAGGCATTAATGACTTGTTGAAATTTAACGTTGCGAATTGAATTGGCAATCTGCTAATAGCGCAAGGTGTATATGTAATTAGAATCTTTTAGATGTAAACGCAATTTCAGTTTCGACGATAGAAATGATCGTGGACGTGGGGTTGTTATTTAAATTTAAGATACATTAATCGCGGATGAATGCCACTTATGTATCATCAACGAGATATTAACGCGTGTCCGCAGTTCTGTCACGGACGGACAGGACTTAAATAGCCGTTCATAAAATGAAGGCCATCCCACGGAAGACGAGTGTAAACGATTACAATAGATTTCGTTGGAACATCTTACCAAGCGACGATTACCCCGTCGAAGAGGAGAGAAATAAAAGTGAGTAGGGGCGATAGGGCCAACGGAGCTTTCCAAATTAAATTCCACGAGTTTCTAGAGAGAAACAAATGTAATATCATCGTGCGTCTCGTATTTTTATATACATATATTGTATGCGTGTGCGTGCGTACGTGCGTGCGTGAGCGCGTGTGTAAAAATAATACGATACAAGCTGGAACGGAGAAGGATCGGTGCGCGACGATGAGATGGACTCGATAGCGATGGGGTCGCGCGTAGAATGTGAAATATGACGTATCGTGTTATTGAACGATAACTGCAAGTTATTAGGGTCGATTGACGAGTAACTGGACGTAAGGAGCGCGTAAAATGTCTCTCAACGTGTGCGTGCCGCGTACAAAGCCGTGTCTCTCCGGCTACTCTTGGCCGCGGTTGGCGTTACGAGTTACGAGTTACGAGTTACGACACGGGCGACCTTACGTATGTAAATTATTCCCAGCGGCACAAATGCCGCTTGGCAGATTCGCTCTCGCAGTTAACACTTGTGCTTCGCTCGAGGACGCTCCGGTCCGGGCCGTTCGATTTTGCCGCGCTCGATTTAACGTCTCCGATTTCAGATCTGCCCAATTTCGTGCTTATGTCGTTCGGGATTTGCTAGTGGATAAGTAACCAAGCATCGGTCGTGAGAGTAAGTTTTCCTTTCGTTTTCTCCACAGTGCGAGTTTCTCTAAAAGTAGTCGTACAGTGCTGGCCGGCATAATTTACCGTTTACTGTTGAGAAGTGAATAGAGAATATAATTTGTTTACCTTTCCGTTTTCTCTTCTCAAGCCTATTATCTCCGAGTTCATTCGGACCTGAAATGAACCGAATTGAATTTAGTCGGCCAGCTCCGAGCTGCTTTTCCATCTTAGGAAAAAGGATTATCTTTTTTTAATTGCCATTGTCAACATCCTAACTGAACCCGATTAATCTTGTCCAATGGAGGCGCGATTCTTTTCAGATTCAATTCTTTTCAGAGAAAATGCAAAGTGGCAGCAACTTGAACCAATTCAGCGACGATGACTTTCTCAGCGGTGGGCCGTGTCCGTCGTGCAGATTGGCCATCAATAAGGAGACTGGTAGACTCAAGTGTGTGACAAGTTTTATGTCGTTTTACTCTCCATTTTATTCGCCAGGCATTCGAGTTTCTCGTATTTTCTTATCAAGTGGGGGTGAACCTTTTGCAATTGTTGCTTATTGTTAGGTGGTGTACCGGCGGCAATGAAGCGCGGCGTTTTCGTGTCAAACTGATGCTCCTTATACCCGCCGCGTTGCTGCCGATTACTATAGTGTTTATCGCTCTGTCGCGATTTCAAACTACGACCAAAGATTCACGCGCCGTTTCCACTTTGTACGAGATGCGTGGGCAGGATCTCGTGAAGGACAAGATCGAGGATGACATTTTTCGGCTGAGTAAGTAAGAGGCCCCCAACTCTGAATTTCCATTTCGATGATGGGCTCAAACCCTATCCGACATACTTGTACGGAGTGTAAATGGTATTCCGTCTTACATCAATCAATCGATAGACATCGCTCTCAATCTTGTTTGCGATCGTACGTGATCGTACAAAGACGTGAGCCAAGTATCAGAGTAGTATGTGTAGAATAGGTACAGCTTTACAAGTTGTAAATATATTGATTTCCTCGACACATCGTAGGGTGTAAGTAATATAAAAAAAGTTGTACTACCTCATCAGCTACCGGCCGCAACGACGTGGAACGTAGAGCGGAAGAAGCCGAGGAAGCCGAAGAAGAGGACCGGCTTTTGCTCCCCGATATGAAAACGAGTTACGTAGACATGCATCCTCCATTTCGATCGCAATCGCCCCACCGACGCAAACGAGACATCGACGGGGTATTAGATCTCCAAACAAATTCAAGTTTGGTTCACTGATTAAGAAAAAAAAAAACGCTCTTTCCCGCTCTTCTGTACTGATTTTTATTTTCGCGCTTTATATTCTCTCTCTCTCTCTCTTCCCGTTCTATTTCCATGTCCTCGCAATCATTGGACCCACACATGCTACAAGCGGCAAGAAACTATCCCGAACACGATCCTTTTCAGGAGAATCACACGAGACATATCGAATTGGGCGATCGGGCGACGTCTCGTTTAACTTACGGCAAATTGGCAGATTTCTTTTCGAGGGAAGAATCGGATAGGAAAACCGATACAGCGGAGAGAGCCGTCTCGGCCTCGGACAGTGACAGGCTGCACGTCGACAGACTCAAGGTACATAAGGGTGGATCCTGCTGATGATGGAATGATTAGATGATTTAAATGTACCCGTCATTATCTGTGATTCTTACAATTGCCGGGAACAAATTGTTCCAAGGACCCAATAATATCTCAACATTTGGCTTGCTCTTAAGAACGTTTGTTAGAGATGAGAACTTATATAGCTTATATAGCTTATATCTTGTGGCAATTTCGATCGTATCATCAAATAGACATGACATTGCAAAGTGGAGGGAGGGAGGACGTGGTTTCAAAATATGAATGCAATTCGAGTCATAATCCAAAGATGTGTGGGTGATTACTTTCATCGATTGTCACGAAATGTTGCATAGGTGAAGAATGGCGACACGGTCGAGGGCAACAACGCACGGCGGGACATGGAGGGAAACAATTTTTTAGGTGATTACTATATCATATGAGAAAGTAGTGGAACCAAGTGTAACTGTATCGCTATTCCACTATTCTAATTAAAAATCAATACTTGGTAAAACCTGCGATATTCTTCAATATTCTTTGTCCAATTCGAGCTCCGACTGAATCGTCGAACGTGATGAATTTTGTTTAATAATTTGAGGATTCGCGAACGTAGGTATTGAGAAACGCTCGAAAGAAGGACCGGCGAGAAGGAACCGCGAGAAAGGCTCGTTCTCCATTTCCATCAATGAAACGTGGTTATCGATAGCCGATGGACACGTTGCGATCGAGAACGTCCAAGTGCCGGATCTGCGTACATTCTGGAAAGGCGGAGGAAACGCCACAAGTATCAGAGAGGCTCGAGGCGAGTATAAAGAGAGCTTGCTCTCATTTCTTCAAGTTTCTCGCGCTGATGCTGACGCTACAATAGATCGTAATATAGATATAAACGAATTATAATACCTCTGTTTACCGTTTACTTTGTAAAATTGTTGAACGGAGCAACGTGAAAATGACTAGGTGTTATATTAATTATAAAAGAGAGCTTCTCGAACGTAGCTCGAATAATGCTGAGATACATGGACGAGAGCGCGGATCCGTGCCAGGATTTCTATCAATACGCTTGCGGCAATTGGGCGAAACGTAATCCTATTCCGAAAGACAAGGCCGGCTATGATACCTTCGAGATGCTCAGGGAATCGTTGGACTCGGTGCTGAGAGAATTGCTAGAGGCTCCGATATCGCGCGACGGCGACGGCGACGATGCCACGGTAAAGGCGAAACATCTGTTTCAGAGCTGCATGAATTACGGTAAGTGAGTCAAGTGAGTCAAGATACCGGTCTAGGCAGGTATAGGCCAGATAATGCCGCATCTCGCGAGCACGAGAGCTTTTTAACAAGCGGCAAGGATATGGCTAGAGATCTTGGAGCAACGTATGGAACGACCACTCGTCCGGCTTTTGGACGAGCTCGGCGGTTGGCCGGTTCTAAGGCCAGACTGGGATCCCGACAGATTCGACTGGCTCCTCTTGACCGCGCAACTTCGATTGTACAATAACGACGTGTTGATCTCAGAATGGGTGGGTCCAGATATTAAAAACAGCGACAAGTACGTGATACAGGTAACAGAGTAGTGCTGCTCTCGTCGCTCGTCGGGCCCTTTACCTGGGCACAGAGAAAAAAACTCTCATTCTTACCGTTAGACATTGTTCGTCCCTTGTTCGCAGTTTGATCAGACGTCGCTCGGGCTCCCTACGAGAGATTATTTCCTTCAACCGTCCAACGCGATTTACCTAGAGGCCTACAAAGATTACTTGACGAGAATCGCAATCTTGCTCGGCGCATCCTTGAATAATGCGAGCGTCGACGCCGAGCAGCTGATTGAATTCGAAACGCAACTCGCGTCGGTACGTTACTCTCCGCTCCTCCCCCCATTCATCACGTTCTGTCTGATCGATGTCTCCCAAATCTCTCGTAGATTACGTCGTCCCCGGACGAAAGACGAAATTTTTCGGAGCTCTATCGACGAATGAGTATAGGTGAACTGAGAGCACTCGTGCCGCAAATCGATTGGCGCCGTTATTTGTCGATCGTCTTGGCTCGACCGATTCACTTTTCCGAGCCAGTTGTCGTCTTCGCGTTGCAATACATCCAAGATTTGGTTCTTTTGCTCTCAAAGACGCAACCTAGGTGCATTATAACATATATGATATATGATGTATGATATGGACCTTATGTTATGCGACAACTCTGCTTCATCTCCATGTTTAATGCAGACCTGCAAGATATGTAAAGCGTCATATCCATTACATTTTCGCAGAACAGTGGCAAATTACCTTTTATGGAGATTTGTGCGGCACAGAGTGAACAACCTGGACGACCGTTTCCAGGAGGTGAAGCAGAAGTTCTATTACATTCTCTTCGGTAGAGAACAAGCGCCGTCCAGATGGAAAAACTGCGTAACCCAGGTCAACTCGAACATGGATATGGCAGTCGGTTCGATGTTTGTCAAAAAGTATTTCGATGAAAACAGTAAAAACGACGTGAGTAGCCTCGCTCTTGAGTCTAGCGTCTTTATCGCTAGCTTCATTGCCTAACTGATTGTAAAAGAAAGAGGGAGAGAGAGAGCCAAACACGTTTCTCGTCTATCGGCAGACATTATCGATGACTCGAGAGATACAGCGATCCTTTAGAGAGCTGCTGGACAAAACCAGTTGGATCGACGACGAAACGAAGCGCTTGGCGTCTGAGAAAGTGAACGCTATGTCGCTGAGAATCGGCTATCCAGACTTTATCCTACAGTCACATCTACTCAACGAACGTTACAAAGATGTAACGTTTACCTTTACGTATCTACAAATCTCTACACACATACACACACACACAGTATTGTTGAGACGCGCATCCGCGCTTCAACGGTAACGTAATGGAGATAAATTATTAATGTACTTAATCTTAATGCAGGTTGTAATTCGACCAGACAAGTACTTTGAGAATACTTTAAACATCTTGCGTCACTTGACCAGGGTCGAACAAGCTCGCCTTGGCAGCGCTGTTAATAAGACACTGTGGAACACTGCCCCAGCGGTTGTAAACGCTTACTACAGTCGCAACAAGAATCAAATAAGTCAGTTTCAGACCGTCATTTACGAGCAAGCATTTGTATACTTTTTCTCTCGTAGTTTTGTGTTAAAAAAATTTAGGATCTCCCCTAAAATCAAAATCCTCTCTCATTTTGTCTCGCAGTGTTTCCAGCGGGTATACTGCAGCCTCCCTTTTATCACAGATTTTTTCCACGAAGTTTAAATTACGGCGGGATTGGTGTCGTGATCGGACACGAGATCACTCATGGATTCGACGATAAAGGTAGACTGTTTGACAAAGATGGCAATCTTCATAGGTGGTGGAGAGACAATGCGGTCGATGGTTTTCATCGGCGAGCGCAGTGTCTTATCGGTATGGAAAAATAAAATTCCCCCCCTTTCGATCGATTACCAATTCGCTTTACCTGTAATTGTGTAATCGAATCGCTTTCCTTCTTGCAGATCAATACGCGCGTTATACCGTGACGGAAGTTGGAATGCAGATAGACGGTGTTAATACGCAAGGAGAAAATATTGCCGATAATGGCGGCATTAAACAGGCGTTTAGAGTAATTTCGCAAGTTTTCCCTCTTCTCTCCCCTCTTTCCTCCTCCTCTTTTTTCCCCCTCGATTCGAATCAAACGTTAGTTTCAACATTTGAAAAGTTTACAAAGCTTTCCTTGCAGGCGTACGAGAGATGGCTACGTTCACACGAAAAGGAAGACGAGACCTTGCCCGGAATAAGTGCGACAGGCAAACAGTTATTCTTCTTGAATTTTGCTCAAGTGTGGTGTGGTTCGATGCGTCCTGAAGCGACGAGAAATAAATTGAAGACGGCTCTACATTCACCCGGTAGATTCCGAGTGATCGGCACACTCTCCAATACGAAAGACTTTGCCCAGGCTTTCAATTGCCCTCCTGCTTCCCCCATGAATCCCACGAGCAAATGCTCGGTGTGGTAAACTATGTGGCGGACACGTACATGAACATAAAAATTAAATACATAGTTTATGTGCATATTCATATAATTTATCATTGCATTCTGATCATATGGCGCATTTGTTATCGTGGAACGCTCGAGTGTACGCTTCAAGTCAAAACACCCAACGTCTACAAATGTATAAAATAACAGAGAAATACACACACGTTTTTTAACGCGCTCATTGGACGCTTTGTATATTTTAAAATATCCAACGTTGGGAGGGAGAGAGGAAGATCGTGGCACAAAACGTGGGCTATGCATAATTTTTTCTTACTAAAACTGTCTAATAAAATGACAGTAAATATAAGCAGCTTTGAGATTATAAAAATTGTTGTAGATTTTATTTATACAATGTGTGTGTACGTGTGTGTGAGTATAACCCCAATATTTTTCTCTGTCCGTTAGTTGATTTGACAAAATTTATTAAACTTTGAAACTGTACTTCGTCTAAAATAAATGAGACACTATACTTGCTGTATACCTATAGCACAATTGTATGTATAAAGCGATTGTGTGACGACAATAATCGATTAGCATACTTGCTGAACATTTGAAAAAAATGTTTAACTTTTTGTTTGGATCAAAATGTAGATACTGATATATTGTATGTACATTGATTGATTTCCCGTACGGCTCGCATACATATGTGCTTTAAATACAAATAAGATAAATGTTTTCATCAAGCACAAAATAATTTTTTTTTGCATAATTTATTTACACATCATTATCGATAATATTGATATTGAAATATGTAAAAATTAAAATTTAAGGGATGGGGGAGGGGGGGACACATCAACTCTGGAAATCGATCTCACAGTTACAATATGACGAAATAATTTTACTTTTTCCCTTATTGTTAAATATGCAGTGCACTGTTTTCTCATCCCTGTTTTTAATATTGTATATCTTTTCTTTAATTAATACATATATCTGGGCCCTTCTCTTTTATCTTCCTCTAATCATTCCTTGACATCTTTGCCCCGTCATTTTTCTCAAATAAAAAATTGTAAATGTTACTTGAAAAGTCGGAGAATTATGTGGGTATAACAACATTGTCAAACAAACTTTAATTACCACGATGACCTTTATGGCCATAATTTTATTATGTATAGCCGTTATATATATATATATGTATATATATAAATCATAATTACGAGTTTTAATATTCTTTACTTTCTATGATACTTTATCAAAATTGGCCTATTAAATATATAAATATATGTTTCGCGTGTGCTACTTCCATTCAACTAACGTTGAAACGTCAATGGAAATATACCTTGACCACTCGTTCGATTGGTCGCGTTGTCATTAGTACGTATACATTAACAAAGTTCTTCATTTGTGTAGAAACTGGTATTCCAAAATGTCTTCCTCGTCTGTAAAGAAAAGAGAAGCATTTTTTATCGCTATGCATAATCAACAAGCAAAAGCATAACGCACGATTGTTTTTTTTTCTGTAAAGTTTCGTCAGTTACGCATAACATATAGGTACGCGAGCGTGTGTGTGTGTGTGTGTGTGTATATATATATATATATATATATATATATATATATATATATATATATATATATATATATATATATATATGCGTGCGTATGTAGGTATACGCAATCGCTAGTTAGATTTGTTGTTACAAGTGCGAAAAAGGTATTCCAAATTGAAACTATGTTTAATAATATACATTGAAGAAATTACCTGCCATTTGTAATCAGCTTATCAAATTAATATTTCTTTTACATTAAGTATTATATTAAGTACGTGTAAGCGTACATGTAATGGTAAAATATTGTAAAACTGCTTTAAAAAAAAACCTATGACTACGTCATGTACATACAACGATTGACTGCGCTGGTGTAAACTGACAGCAAAAAGCATAATATAGTTAGTGCTCGAGACAAGTATAGTGAATGTGTATTATGTATCGTAATAAAACAAAGATACACTCACAGATATCGTCTCTGCTATTGTTGTCCAAATCACTAGTTTGTGTATGACTCTCCTCGTGCATACGCCGCCCTGCGTCATTCGTCAGCGCAGCACAAGGCACAAAAAATGACTCGGTTATGTATCTGACAAAGTGGTGTGGTACAATGTACATACAATATAATATTTGAAAACGCAAGTCTCCTAATCTTTGAAACGGGAAGGCGATACAAACAAAAAAAGTGGGAAATTTTTCACAAGATTACAAGATTTCAACATGAGATAAAATTTTTGTGATCTATATGGAACTTTCCTTCGTATATGCGACTATGTTGCAATTAATGTATTGCGATATTGACACAAACGTTTTTCAAAATCATTATAAAATGTAATTGTAAAAAGACAATTTTGTTAAACATATTGCACTATCTGTCTGCAACATAAGCCAGACGTGGGATTTATATTACACAATGTGTAATACAGACGTACGTGTGTATGTGTGTATGCGTGTGTTCATGTGTCAAGTTGTTTGTATTTGTTCATGTAAATATTTACGTACACTAAAATTCAATGTAATTCAATTAAAATTCGAGTACAATTGACTCGTCTGCAATTTTTCACAAAACGTTTATGACAAAACAAATAAAAATGCATTCGTTTATTAAAAATTAGAGATTCAATTTTTGAATCGAATTGTGTTATATTCTCTCTCTATAAAAATTACTTTTAATCGATACAATTGTTTACGCAAATAAAATGTTACAAATATGCGATATTTTGTATGATATATCAGTTAGAAAAATTGCATGACGTTTACATTGCAAATATAGCTTCACGACGACGAGAGTAACGAAATGATAAAATTCAAAAGATACTTGATATAACAAAGGATAAAAAACAATCTTTTCATTGAAATATTGTTTATTTCTACATCGTAACAAATATTTTATAAATAGACTTTGAATATATATGCAATTGAAAATATATACGAATTATTAATAAATATACGTGAAGCTATATTCGGTTGTTACTATGTATATATACTATGTCCTGTCGTACATACATACAATCATACACACATACATACATACATACATACATACAACACAACGTTGAACGCACAGCGACTATCGTCTGTTCTTTTGCTTTATACGAGTAATCGTTATATGTAATACATACATGCAGATAAAATTAAGACATCTTGCTATTAATATCGTGAATACATTAGAAAGGAAAGAAAAAGAAAAAAAATAGTTTTAATGTTTAGTTATCCCAGTGGGTTCAAAGTTCGTCTTTGCGTATACAACGGTAGTAATGTAGACTGAAAGTTAAAGTAAACTCTTTTTATCATAGTATCAAATCGAGTGTGGAAAAAGATTTCCCTTTCGTAACACACACAAATAAAATGCGGTAAAGTTGGCATAATGTAACGGTAAGGCATAAATAGAAAGAACGCACCTCGACGATACAATACGTAAAATACACTTAAAAACTTAAATAAAACATACATGAAAATTGTGTATCACTAATTATAAAAGTATACGTGTGAGACAATGACGATAAACATAATCTAAAAATGTAAGCATCTACATAAATTATAAATCTCGCAGCTTTCTTGTAACACAGATGGCACATTTAGTATGAGTGTAATGATTGAATTTGTACATGTTATATTGAATTCCAATACAATGTGATATAACGTAATTATAAAGGCTATTTTTCGATATAAATAATATTAGCTTTACACAATATAAAAATTCGTTACGCGTGTAAAAGTCTCTAACGAGTCGACATTACAAATGATATAAAACAATGTCCGCACGCAAACATTTCTTTTTATGTTTTTTCTTTTTTCGAACGTATCTACAAAGTTACTGAGATACTTTCAAAGTACTAGAGATGGCTGAATTACGAGATATTTAGAAACAACATCTTCTCGACTTTAAAGAAATAGTTGGCCCATTGTCGTAGATAATCCTAAAACGCAATCAATTAAATGGTATTAATAGATATGTAATTTACATGCATGTGCAGAGAAGGATTTTTACAAATCTTAATAATTTATTTTCAGACGAGGTAAACCGTGTTATTTACATGTGTTCATTTTTGTGCTTAATGCCTTGTGCTATCGTGCTGCTATAAAGTAACGATTACCATATAGTTACACTTGCAACAAAGCGTGCGCAGCAATTGCGTGTAAGTATACGATAACAAAACAATACGGGAGAACAGCAGACACTTATTACACTAATTACGTTTCTGCAATACCGTAGAATACAATGGAAATGGATTACCGAAAAGATTTTAAAATACAAGTCAACTTCATGCAGAAAGACAACGGTAAACATTTTTCCATTATTTGGAATAATAGACTTTATAGAGCATGGACTGGCAATTGCTATAGTTTCTGTGTTAATATATAGCTTCTGCATTAAAGACAGTGTCCGTAGGAGCTCTGTGTGTGTGTGTGTGTGCACGCGGGCGCGCGAAAGAGAGAGAGAGGGGGGGGGGAGGAAGGGACGTACGGACACTGTCTTAATTGTATTACCAGCCCATTTCTATAAGCCATAAGTTATATGTTTATACTACATATGGAACGGTTTACTTTGACACGTTCATTACGTTCATTCTTCCGAGTACGAGTTCATTCTTATTAATATGTAACCAACATCATACTATTATGCACCAAAGATTTTACTTAATACTTATACGTATAAAAAAGTTTGTATTATTAAATTATACGTATTGTTAAAAATATTTATTTACTTATTAATGCACCAAAGAGGAAAGAAAACAACGAGAAATATCCACTTTACATACGAGGCGTCACGGTTACACAAGAAACAAACAGAAAAGAGAGGGGAAATGAGAAACGAAACACTCGTAAATTTTATCACCGGTCATAGAATAAAGAGTTTTCGTCTTATTCGTTTACTCAAGTCGAATTTCTGTCGAGGTGTAACGAAACTCTACCAAATCGTATTAGTGTGTATACCGCTCTATAGTTATAAACATGCAAAATATCTCAGAGTAATAAAATAGATTTTTTAAATACTGTTATGCAAGATGCAAACGGAATGAAATGCAAATATATATATAAAGATTTTTACAAATAAATGAATAAAAACTCTTCAGACCCTATTCAAATCTATGTGTACGCTGGAATTAATGAATAAATACTTTGAACATTAGAAAAGCGATAGCAACCATGCATGAACATCGGAGTGCATGATAGATTCATAATAATACTAGGTTTATCTGAGAATACGAAAATAGAAACAACAGTATTGAAAAATCCAATAAGGAAAAGAGGAAAGATCTCAGTACAGACGTTCATTAGCATTAATCTTTACTTTGCAGGCATAGACGATTTAACGTGCTCAAGTGAAACTATTCATCAAAGTATTCATCCACAACGTGTTCAGCTTTATATTCTCCCCTATACGTATATCTAGTTCTTTTTCTCTATTTACAACAGCTACATAACATCGACAAAGAATTCACAAGGATTTCCCATCGCAATGCGAAATGATTGTCTACTACCAGATAAGTCTTGCTGATTCTGCTGATTCCCCGATCCTGTTCCCGTTTGAACAGATTGTTCGGAACCACTGGAACGACTGCGGCTTCCGTTGGATCTCTTTCCGTTTGAACCGTTACCGTTGCCGGAATTTTTACTTGGCATTGATGGCACCGATGGATTGTGCAGCTCCGATTCTGATGCCGAAGAACATGATTTTAGATCGTGAATAGGTTCCTTGCAAATGCGTTCACTACCCGCACTGCTACCACCTGTCAATATGCATGTAATATGAAATGTGTATGTGCGTGTATATAGCATGTACAATTTGTATGCGTGTGTGTGTGTGCGCGTGCGCAACAAAGAATCGCTTTGTTTATAATAATGGACTTTACCTGAACCACTGTGCACACTTTCTTCTCGATGGTAGCCGTATACCGTGGGCTCATTTGTAAAATTAAATGGCATAGGGCTGTAACCTGTCGCCGAATGTGGTGCATATGTTCCCGAATAAGGCATATCCCAAGCGCTTGGTGGCGGCAAGGGACTAACTGTGTCATTATCTAGTTTCATATTACTCATAGCTGAACACAAATCACCAAATATGTAATAACATTGTTCGGAAAACGTTATCTTGTTCACGGTATGTCGAATATAGCCAGCTTTCAGCATAAGCGACGCATATTTCCTGGCATCGCGTCGATCGAGAAATCCTTCCACATGCGTGTTCAACCAGTCCACGACATCTGCGCCAATAAATGCATTTGGAATAGTAATTTTCAGCCACATTCGATCGCGTATCTCTAAACCAGAGTCAGGTCGAGCCATCGCTCGTACTATTGTCGGCATGTCGGTATGTATAGTCAAATGAAGCTCTTCCAAAGGTCCTGCAGCGAAATTTTTCAATTACACTACAATACACAAGATGTCTAATATCATAACGATTTATTATGTCTATATATCAGGCCTTGCTTATTCGATTTCTCGAGTGATTACGATTCATATTTTCAGAGTCCCAAGTGCTCGAAGATACAGATATTTTCGGGAATCAAATTTATTATGTTAAAAATGCACTTTTTAATCAATTCGAGACACTTAGTATTATAATATACATGTTAAACTTTTCAACTTGCAATATAACTTACGTTCAGTATCTGGCAGTGTGCTCGCAAGACTGCTCGAAGTGGAAGTTAATGTTGTGGCACTTGGTGGACGAGGCGGAAAACCTTCGCCTCTTATAGCAGCCGTGTGCGCTACCCATGCACCAGGGTCTATGGGACGTACCGGCTCTGTGCGAGGTATCGTGAAGTAACCTTTCGGATTTGGGTCCCAACATTTTGCAACGACAAGTTTTATTGGTCTAAAAAAAAGAGAGAGACGAGGAACAACAATCTACTTTTATCTTAATACAAACCTCATATTTTTAAGTAAAGAATTATATGCCATCGATGAATGAAGACGACGGCCATAGTCTTACCCTGGTTTTTGCACTACTTCGCGTAACACTCTCACCGCCTCGTCGTTGGACATGTTTTCAAAATTAATGTCATTGACCTGAAGAATCATGTCGCCAGGTTCTATTCGACCATCTAAAGCAACCGCTCCCCTATTTCAGGTAATTTGTAGTAGAGTAAACGGTATCGTCATAACACATGGTACGAGATACCTTGCGCTATAGAAACTGATACGGTTTAACGTTTATTTAAAAAAATAAAAAAAGAACTTTGGATGTTTATGCAAATTGTAATTAGAAAACTACAGAATCGGCTCTGTTCTCACGTAACTTGGTACAGAGATTGTTCATACCTTCAATTACTATTGCGAAAACTTGTTTAAATTCACGTTCAAGTTTGTGCAACAATATTTAACAAAGATATTCTACCGATATATCATCAATGGGACGAAACAATGAGAATCCTAATGCCAAAAAAAAAACTTATAAATTTACCTACGCGCGCGTGCGCGCACATACACTCGTATACTAACCCTTTCATTATTGAACCGACATATATGCCGCCGTCCCCACCTTTGTTGCTCTGACCGACAATGCTGATGCCAAGGAAATTAACAGTATCCATATTTAATGAAACAGTTATAATATTTAAAGACATTGTACTGTCAGTAATACTACTGAACGACGACGTTCGAGACATGGGCGGTAGTCTGTGTCGCCGTCTTCTTTGTGGTCGACGCCGATCTGCAACGGAAGAATTGAGAAATTCAATACACGCCTAGAGACCTGTCCGCGGTAGTCTGTTATCCAAAGGAAACGTTCGTTTCAAAGTAACATTCCTCTCGTACAATTTGTCTCTTACCAAGAGTGCCCCTATCGATCGTGCTACTCATATTAGTGTGTCGGCCCGTTGTCGACGTGATACGACTGCTCGCGTCGTCGTCAGATTCTAAAAATGTTGTCGTTTCCAAGTCTGAGCTTAAAATAGAGGCAGTTTCATATCCGTGGCCAGAGCGATGCTTCGAATGACCATTTATCCGGAGTCCTATAAAATGCGTACATATTGTATAGATTTTAATTCCTTAAAAAGGTTCGACATAAAAGCCACACGAGTGCGAGACAATTCAATCGATTGTGCAAAGTAACAAAGTACCATCCGATAAACACGTTACATGCACAGCTTACCATTGTACTTGTTGTATTTCTCATACTTTTCCGAATGGTGTCTCGAGCTCTTATGTAAATGATGTCCTTGCCGACTGCTTATAATACTTTCCGTTTCCGTCAACGTGTCGTCATGTGAAAGCGGAGCGTTTCCTCTATTACCATGTCCCGGGGTCGCATGGTCCACGCGATCATGTTTCACTTCGCTATGTGCCATAGAGTCTGTACACTGAGACGCGCCATCCGAGACATTGCTACCTTCGGCGGATACCAACTGTCACAAAGTATCGTTTCATTAAGCAACACATTTCTTTTCCAGGTCTCCCTCCGAGAAGAAATATTACTCTGTTTAACAACTTCAGTGTCTTTCGACCATATCCGGCGTCATGCACTGAAGTTGCTAATTACTGCTGTCGACTTTGAAGAATATTCTCGTTAGTTGCTCCGTTTAAATTAGAGCTTTCGATTGGATACGTGTTTTAAAGCGGGGAGCACACACTTTTGCACAAGTGCGTAAGCATATGCGTAACGAATTTGATTGGTCCATTTCCTTATGCATTTGCTTACAGACCAATCAAATTCGTTATGCATATGCTTACGCACTTATGCAAAAGTGTGTGCTCCCCGCTTAAGATTCACGCGTACACGGATTTAAGGTACATTCGTTCACGTGACACGTGTACTCGAATGTATGTGCGACACGTGTAAACGTGCGCAAATATTTATCAAAATTTGATGAAAGATCTCCATTTCTGCATACGTTGCTCGACATATGTACACGCATAATTCCAGCATTCCAAGCTTTATCCAGATTTTGTCACACAATTCTCTAAATATGCGTCACATACACCGATATTCGTGAACACGTGTCGCATTCACGTGTTGACGGATTCGCGTAAATCAAGATTCTTTAAATTCGCGTACACGGGTTAAAAAACACGGATAAGTTAAATACACGGGATTACACGTGTAGTCTAGTATACACGTGTGCCAAGGAGCTCTAGTTTAAATGTGCGCTTTACACACGCGCATCCTTGAATTTTATTACATGCGCGTTTATTGTATTTTACAGCTATGTATTTCTAAAGGAAGAAAGAGAAAAACATCGACGCGATATTTCCATTTCATCGCCGACAGCAATTTAATTGAAATAAGAGGAGGAATCTGTTGGAGAAGGTACAACTTTTAAATTCTCACCCAAGAGACAACTCGGCCATTGAAACACGGCAGATGAGCGTCGTCATCTACTATTTCCTCTTTTACCACGCTACAGTAGAACAAGTGTTTTATATAAGTATCAAGTCTAATCTACAATGTGCTTTCTGCGTCTAGAAACATTCTATTTTATATAAACAGATCAAAACACTCAACAAATTTGTCAACAGTGTACGATTATACAATGTATAATGTACAATTTATCAACTTGCATAAATTTTGTAAACGTATACATTAGCTACAAAATAGAATGTTTCTAGATGCAGAGAGCACATTGTAGATTAGGCTTAAGTGTTAAGATGACAGCCACTTAAACGAGACTTACAAATATGTAACATGTAACAGATTTGAAGCTTTCTTTTTCATATATTTCCAATTTACAAGTGCGTGAATAAATAATTTTCACAATTCTTAACCACAAATGTATCTACAGTTTTCATACACTTATATATATACATGTATATATATGTACTCTTTGTTATCTGTAAAAATCTGTTACGCGTATCCTTACCAGGGAACAGCTTATCTCTTAAATTATCTGAAAATGATCACGCTTGAGAATTTCATAAAATAACAGACAAACGGCACGCTTTTGACGAAAGAGAGACGAGGCTTGGCCTGTCTACCGCTCGAGAGGCAAGAGTCGACAAACTTTTTGCCAGCCAGATAGTCAGATAGAGGGGCATTGTATCGGGGAAGAAAGAACTTACACATACGTATACGCAACGCGTAAACGTCACAAGTTAGAAACAAGTAAATTTTGCCGGAGTAATAATAATTAATAGAGCTGGAGTTGCGTATTTACATTGTATCCGGCGAAGTAGTGTGTGATATAACGCAAGTGTAACGAAGACGCATGACACATGGCACGTAGGAAAGAACGAAAGGAATGGTACGGCAGCGGTATGCCGCGTTAACATTTACCCAAAGTCATCGTCCATTGACTTGAAGAAATACTTGTAATTCGGACGATTTAAAACGTTCTTGAAATCGGCTAGAGTTACTCTTTCCGGCGATATGTTGAGCTTCACCAGATATGGCGTCTCCTCGTCGTCCATGTGATAAATAATCTTTGTTTCTTCCATCGTCGGAGTACACGTTCGGCGAACGAGACGTTATTCGCGATGGAAAAACGATACGCGAAACACACAGGTTCCTCACCGACTCGGACGATATTTTCTCAAACCAATATGGCGCGTGGTGCATCGAGCCAAAGCCCTGGTGCGTAAAAATATCGCATATTCACAGGCCGGTGAGATGCTCGCGGAGCTCGTCGACGAGGACGTAGTCACGCGGCGTCACACCGTTCACGAGAAGAGCACTAAATCATTTTCCGTTGAGTCTGAAACACATTTACGCACAAATCGCCGCGATAAATTAAACGTCAACATCGCCATCAGCGTTGTGCGTTTACTTGCACGAGCGTATACCCTACAGTATGCAGACGTTTATAGATGGACTCCCGTTGAAGGCGTAAAGTCAGCGCCAGCAAGAGAAGACACTCTATTAAAATTCCTAGCGAATTCGGTTGCTCGCACTGAGTGCACACTAAAGCCCGTATCAGACTACGGATTGGG